CAAAGAATGAAAACCTTTACGCTTTTGCTGAGAGCCCCATTTTGCCCTTTGTCACGCAATAACTCGGCAGCACTTCAACATTTCGATCTCGAATTTTTAGCATAAGCTCGCTGGACAGTAAGCATCAGTCACTGAAAGCGCGATCGAAATCGGATGTAAGATAAAAAAGTTTTTTTCTGAGGGGGGGACCCCTTAAAAGATCCGTTTATCGCAGCACAGACTCCAAAATCCTAAATGGGATACAAAATGTGTATCTCAGATGTACAAAATTTTCTGGGGTACGAAATGGCAAAATGGAGTATTGTACCCGAAAATGGGATACGTATGGCAACCCTGAATTGAATTCAATACCTACATATAGGTCCGCTTAAAATCCAATTCACTCTCTGTTGAATTGTAATGTTCACTGCCTGGTCCAAACTTCCTCAACATTTTCACTATCTGAATAACTAAACACAAGTACGTAAACTCAAAAATAGTTTGAATTTTCATTCGTCTTAGCGTTAGATTTTCAGACATTTTTCCTAAAGAGAAACTTCTCTTTAGAAAAAATATCTTTCAATCAATGTAGAAGATATTAAGAAAATTTCTGTCAAAATGTACGGATTCAATCGACGATTCATCTTTTAATTTCTGAGTTATTCTTCTATACCACTTATTTTGGAATAACACATTCAAAGACTTAAATGTTTTCATTCTTTCTTCCTGTAATGGCATAGGTCTAGTAAATGTCATAAGTACCGTGACAACGGCCACCATTATTTATTAATGATTACGCTAGTAACGTCATCTTTTAAGATGTCTCTCATTTACAGATTATTTCTGAGAAATTTATTCATAGAAACAAATATAAATTTTACATGAGAATTTTACAAATATAGATTAATAAATCGAGATCAGATTGACGTTTCATTTATACGTCACTTTGCGGTTGATTTAGTTTGTATTCTGTGTAACATTTTATAATAACTCTCGGATCTGTCACTGATTGTTCACGTTCGTTGTAGTCGTCAGTACATTCGTCTTGTATTTTTCCAAGTTCTAATTGTCGTTGGGTATGAGCCGTAAGACCAATAAGATTTTCTACCATTTTTATTTTTAATATTTCTTGAAAATTAATTTTTAGTCTTTCTGATTCGGCTTTTGCTGTGAGAATAAATTCGGTGAATGCAATAACACATGACAGTATACCACCAAATAAAAATATATAAAATAATCCAGTAACACTTGATAAACTTAATTTACTGAATCGTTTATCTTTCGGTACTGTTGAACATTCTGATCTGTCGTACCTAAATAAAGAGAGACATATGCATTTTAGTTGTTAGAACAAGCGCTCTCTGTGGACTAAAAGTCTAAAATTCTTTACGGATATTTTCAAGCTAATTATTAGTACTTTTAATATCTACATGTTTTTGTAATAAAAAAATTCTGGAAAATTCGTCAATTTTCAATATATATTTTCACTTCTTTTCCTTTTGTAACACTACATACCACCATTGTTGTTTTAATTTATCTAAAAAGCCTGATTCTCTTAATTCTGTCACAATAATATCGAGTGCTTCTCTCAAATCTGATCCCATTGTTGATGCAATACCATATCCTTTAGAATCAAGATCACTACCAACTTTCATTGTATCGCATGGTTCACGTTCGTTGACATATTCATTTTTTGTTGATCTGCAATTAATGTCAAGTTTACATTGTATTGAAACTATTAAGACGTATAACTTACTCAATGAAAAATGCATATTTTCCTTTTGAATTGCGTACTTTTGCTACTCCTTCATCATTTGATTGAACAAATACTTCGGTTGAATGACGTTGCATAAATTGCCACATAGTCTGAAATACAGTCAAGTTACTCTTTTCAAAAAAAGCGGATGTCGTGCCATTTTGAAGAGCACCATATTTCATTTCATACTGTTTTGCTAAAATGTCGATAAGACTTATTTCATCATTGTATGAAAATTAAAACATTTACTGTATTACCTAAATCTTCGACACTTTCAATGGGTATAACGAGTTTTTCCACAGTAAGAAATGCCACTAGATTGGCAGTATAAGACGAAATGAAAATTAAGGAAAAATACCACCTAAATAAATTAAATTCAAATTATTTATGTTTAACTAGTTGATGTTTGACGTACCATGATGTTGCCGCAACTCTACCAGAAAAGGATTTTGGAACAAGATTAATATTTTGACGCATGAATGATGCAAATGAAAAAAATAGTGCATTTGATATACCAAATAAATGAACTGGTTCATTATCTGACGATGTATCTATTTTATTTTTATCCTTATTAACAGTATTTGTACTACTACTAATAGAGAGTGCATTATCATTCGGAATATTTAAATAGCGTCCATATCGATTTTGATGTTCAACTTCATGATGAAGTTGATTTCGTTGATATTGAAGTCGACTACGTCTATTAGAAATATTTGATGATCGACGTTGTTGTCGTTGCTGTTGATCACCAACAGAATCAATATCAGAGTGTTCTTGTTGTCGTTCTAATAATACTTCACTTTTTCGTCTATCATGAATACTTTTAGGATAATGATATTGACGATAAGATGGTGTTCGTACAATTCTTCGTCGCCATCCCGATTGTACAACGCGACTAGTCAAAAATAATATCACAGATACGGCAAAATAGGCGAGAGAAAAACATAACCATATTTCCATTGATACAGGATTCATAAATGAGAAAACGCCTGGTTTTTCAGCATCTGGTTTGCTTATCTAAAAGAGAAAATAATAAATACATATACATTTTTATTTTTCACCTAGAGTTTATTTTATAAATCATCATACCATTATTGATATTCCTAAAAGATAAACAATAAGCAATTCTAGTTTTTTGTTAATGAGTATTTTATACTTTTTAAATTTACCAAGATTCATGAATGGCTTGCTGAAATCTACCACTTCCATACGCTTTTGACTGATTGTCAATGGAGCAATGGCCATGTCAGCGACGCTAAAAATAAATGAGATTATAGTAAATATTGTGCATTAATTATTCATTTACTTACCGTGATACGAGTTCTCCAATCATACCTAAATAAAGATCAATTTATTGTTAATAAACATAAACACAGTATTAGTCACCCACCATCCCATAGACCTGTACTACCATTTTTCGAACCGAAATTGCCATCATGAACAATACGAAATTTACATGTTATATTTAAAATTGTACACACTTTATCAGCAAGATCAACACAATAACCTGAAATAAATACTAACTTTTTAGAAAGATGTATGTACAATGTAGTTCGAAATGATATTGTGCTAGGATAGAATCAACACTATACCTACCTTCTAATTCATTCATATCAAATATTCGTCCTTGTAATTGTTTTAAATCTTTCTGATTATATCTTGAATAATGTCCACTTTTTTTGCTTAACATGAGAAATGGTTCATCAAATAAACTTGTGATATAATACGTTGTATGTTTAAAATAACTTGATTCTGTGGACTTTTTTTTATGATAATCACATGATTTGTAACCATTTTTCTCACTATATTGACCAATATGAGTTGCCTGCCTTTCATTAATTCCCGATGATCGTGTAATATACGCATCAATAATATTCAAATATCGTTGTCCACATTTGTTGATATGTACATCATTGGTATCACCTTTATAAACGGTATTATTATTTATGTTACTGATTATATCCAATAACATCGATCCTGTAACAATTTTTCCTGAACAATCTTTTAAATTTTCAAATGATACAATCAAATATTTAATAGCATCATGTAAAAAACGTTTATCAAAATGTTTTGGTAATAAATTACTTATAGTCACTAGTTTTTCATGTAATATATTATTTTGTAAATTATCGATATATTTTATCCGTTGTTCGCATACACGTTCGTCTAATTTAATCATTTCATTTTGTTGTTCAGTTTGATTCGATAATGGATTATCATTATTACGAAAACCTAGTGACGAATAGTAATAGTATTGCTGTTGCTGTTGTTGATCTTGTTCTTGACGTTTAACAAGCGTATTATAGTGTTGTTCTTGTCCTCCAATATATTTTGTTGAATTTGTCGTACATTCTTGTTTTGAACCATTGTAATGATGATCAAAATATGTAATAGAAGCTGAAAAATTAATCCCTTGAATCCATGAACAAGCATCAAACGTCGACATTAATATATAATGATACGCATCACCTGTCATACCTAAAATGATTTTATCTAAAATAGAATTTTTTAATTGTAATTAATTATTCTTCTATTTACCCATATGAGATATTTTATCAAACATATTCACATAACTTTGATGAGACGATAAATCAAGTAAAATATAACGTTTTTCATCTTTAGTCATATAATATTGTTCAATACTGTACAATAGTGCATAGGCATTATCACTATTCGAAATTAATCGTATATTAAATGTAAAATTATGAAAATAATTATCGTATGAATACATTTTTATTAGTTCATAAAGACGTTTTATTGATTCATAATTATCGTAGATATATGCTGCTTGTTGTATATGATAATATTTAAGATAACTCATTATTATTTGAGTAAAATCTGGTATTAAATTAAAATGAATATTTTTTGTTAAATTTTTATGCACATTAATATCGATCGGTGATGCTGTTACTTTATCACTCATGTCATAGTAATAATCGGATAAATTTAATCTAAATAGACCAAAATATTTAAAGACGATTATATTTGAATGGTCTTTGTTGATTCTTATCGGTTGACCAAAATAAAAAGTGACATAAATGGAGATTGATTTTATTTTATCACTTTAGTCGTTTTCTTATATATGTATACAATCAATTTTTGTATTTGATGATTCGTCTGATTTTAGGGTATCCCACCCCTCTTTTTGGGCTTTCCGTAGGAATGCTGTGAAATAAAAACTAAAAGCCACTAATGGTTCATATTTTCAGAACTGATTGGAAACTCAATGGAACACTTTTTAGTTTTTGTTTCAGGTTTTTAACTATTACCGTTTACGAGTTTTTCAGAAAACTTGGTTTCTCATTGTATCACATTACGGGGGGGGGGGGGGGGGGGGGGGGGGGGGGGGGGGGGGGGGGGGGGGGGGTGGTGGGTGGGGGGGGGGGTGGGGGGGGGGGGTGTGGGGTGGGGTTTGTGGGGGGGGGGGTGTGGGTGTGTATGGTGGTATGTG